GGTTGTTGTGGTCTGTCCCCCCTGTGGCACCTATGCTGTGTTGGTGATTCTCCCCTCCCCCCTGTGGACTGGTCCTGTCCATGGTATTCTGCTCCTCCCCCCCGTGGACCCTGTGGTTGTTGTGGTCCTGTTGTGCTGGTGGTTCTCCTGTGAGAGGCAAACTGTGTGTGACTGTCCTCTCTACGGTACAGACAGCAAGGCGGTCAGGTGTCTCTTTTCTACACTCAGGCACAGAGGTGCTGGTAGTCCCTACACCAGAACCTCGAGCATAGGACATCATGCATTGGTGGTTGGACACGTGACTACACTGGCAGGACACTGAAGGCTTCACCCTGTGGTACCTATGCTGTGCGGGTGATTCTCCCCCTCCCCCCCCTGTGGTCCTGTGGTTCTGGTGGTGCTGCCCATGCGGTTCTGATGGTATATTAAGAGGGTGTGGGTATTCGTAGATGATCCTGCTTCATCTCCCATATTATTTCTACTGCTGTTACCTTAATTCTTCTAATGATTCTTGACACAAGTTTATTCGGAGTAGAGCTATAGCCCCAACAGTGACGACAGTTATAAGGATCGCGACACCGGGAGGCCCCTTCCCTGTGACTGTTGGCGCTTTTCAGACACCAAGACCACGCGGAGGTCCAAAAGTGATGACAGTTACAAGGATCGTGACATTAGGGGGCCCATCCCTGTAACTGTTGGGACTTTTGAGACGCGACAAAAGCACGAGGAACAAAAAGTGACAACAGTTACAAGGATGGCAGCTTTGAGGCGTCAAAAACGATGACAGTTACGAGGATCGCGACCTCAAGGGCCCCATCCCTGTGACTGTTGGCACTTTTGAGAGGTCTGGGCTAGGGAGGGGGGACCCATACCATGGGGGGGGTGGGGGGGTGGGGGGGTAGGGGCAATATAGGGTTATACAGGGTAAATGGAAAAGAAAATGGAAACTACCATTTGGGTTCTTTGGGTTATTGCGTGTAGGGTTGTTCCCAAATCAGGGTTACCTTTTTAGGGGGGTCCCGATTATAACAGCTTTGGGTCTGTTGGAATAGGGGTCCCGGAATTTTGGGAAATTGCCATTTGCTGACAAAGAAACTCGGAAGTCGTGATAGCAGCGATTACTTAACAATGGTGGCATTTGTTCTGCGATTGACGCTGCTACGCGACTTACCTTGTCTGCTCCCAACTTTTGTTGCGCTGCTACAGGCTGCATGGCGTGGTTGAGAGAGTCTTCAAACTCGAGCGAACATCATCAAAGGCAACTTTTCTCGCGCGGCTCTTGGAGAGCTCAGGTTTGTAAGTTTGCACTATCGCTACTAGCTCGGTGTTCACCAAATGCCCCAGGCCGCCCCCGCCATTGTTCGGCGTGTGTTTCTCGTGCCGCATGCGGATCATGGGCATTTGCTGTCACCAAGCGCCAGCGCGTGCCTGGACATCTCTTAGCCCAGGTGGTAGCCACACATGCCAGCGGCAACGCTCCACAGCACGGCAGAAACCGCAACTGCAGCGAAGCAACTTCCATGCGCCGCTACCACCCAAGTGAGTCAGGCCGGTGCACGGCCACTCAAGTAAAAGGACAGGTCACAGGCACTTGGATAAGGGCATCTCACTGCTCATCTCAGCAACCACTCCCCTTTCCCCTTAGCCCCTGTTGCCTGTTGCCTGTCCAGGTCCTTGCGGCCTGTACCCTGGAAGGGCATGGAGCGCATGCACGGCCCAGACGGCTAGAAAGCTGATCGAAAGAACCAGCTCCTGCACCGACTTTCAAAGCCTGGCTTTTGGCTAATTTGCTGTGGGCCTCTGCCCTTCACAGAACTAAGCGGAGCAAAGCAGTTACCGCCTGGCTTGAAGAACCCTCAGCAGCCCCCAAGCGGGGCCAGTCAGGCCGCATTAGAATCACCAAGTCGGCGATGCACGCAGCCGAGAGTCGAGAGCATTCATCACAAATGCTCAGGAAACACCTTGCATCTCGTGGCGAAACGTGCAGAAGGTATCCGACGCTAGGAGCTACAGATTATCAGGGGAAACTGCGGCAACACCATTCCGGGAGCTTATCCAGGTTGCTGTGCAAAACCTCATCGGGGTCATCTTAGATTAAGATTTTGGAAGGCCAGCGATGCTCCCTTTTGCCCATCCGCTACACGAGATCCCAGCCTGGCCATCATCTTTACTTTACAGTGGCCAGCAAAACTTCGACAAGCTAGCTTGACCCCGCAAGAAGGCATCTATGGTGCAGATCATCGCCAATCTACCTGTCATCCAAGATGCCCAATCTTGCAGGCAGGTCATCTACATGCGCGGGAGTCCGCTGAAACGGCATCCTCTGACAATTCAGCAGAGCCTCCGCCAAATGAATTCACAAAGGCCGAGCCATCCTAGGTCCTTGTGGCCTCTTGCAAGACCTCAAACGTACCCACCAACCATAAACAAGAAGCGTTCAAGAGCCACAGGGGTAGGCGGACTCTGGCCTGCGAAAAAGAGAGCCACATTCATACATTCATACGGGGCACGCAAAACATGCGGTCCTAAGGAACCCATGCCTTCGGTGGTGCCTGTTAAGGCCCTTAGAAATTCACAAGGTGCTCAGCAATGCACGAAACTACTGTCATCCGCTGCCGGACCTACCTGCTCCAGCCATTAATAGTGATAAGGATAATGATAACAATGACAGTGACGGTAAAAAATGTCATAGGAATACTTGTGAGAATGCTGCAAAGTCATGTGTGCGTGCATTAACCTGGAGGTGCACTGAGCAAGCCTCTTGGCGAACAGGTCTGGCTGACAGCCGATGATCCTCGAAAGTTTGATCTGCCACCGTAGCGCGATGAGCAGGGATCGTGCTTGTAGCTTTTTACTCAGACCCTCAACTTACCGCTTGTCTTGACTTTTAGCTGTCATCTGCGCCCGGGAACAGATCCTGTTAACCTGGAACGGAAAACTCCAATCCTCGGCAAACAAGCGGCCGCGAGGAGGCAACCCGGCTGTGATGGTAGTACTGGAACACTAAACTGATATTGTTACTGCTATTGTTACTACTAGTCGGGCAACGAACCTGATTGACGGTTTTGTTTAGCGCCAATACTAGGCTAGTCTCACCCGTGCAAGAGACGCCTTCAGGCGATCAGGACCGGATTCAACTGTGACTACTATGATTTTTACTGGTATTGTTATTATCATTGTTACTCTCATTGTTTCTGCTATTGTTACTATTCTCGGTCATATATGAAAATGGATCCTGGCATCAGCCACTGGAATCCTGTGGAATCAACACTTTGATGGGGTAGCGACAGGAAGTCGCAACTACTGAAACCAAGACAAGCTTTCAGTCTTCAGAAACTCCCATAAGGCCCAGAAGGGTTGCTTGCTATGCGTACCTGGACACTGGTAATAACAGTACTAACACTCATCATAAGAATAATGACACTAACATGGCCTCAAGCCTCTAGGCCGCACATTGTGCAGCTCTGTGCCACCGCCGCGTCTGCGGTGGATTGGTTGAGGACTTGCTCCAGGCATTTAGCTGGTGAAAACAAGAACCAGCAACGCACCGTTACACCAGTGCTCTGCGCAGGCAGGCGGGACCAAGACGACTGTAATGCATGAAGCCCTTGAGATCAAGGAAGGCCAATCTCAGCAATCTGTCATACTCCGCTTCTTGATCCTGCGCCACACGCAGGTCGAACGGACACCTTTGCAGCCCTGGTGGTTCGGCGGAGAACTGGGTAGAAGAGTTGACACCTGGAGGAGCAACTCCTGCCCTTGATGCTCTAGTCCTCAGACCTTTATATAAGCGCATCCCAGGGCTGGAAAGGAGCATGGCAATTAAGTCTGTCTGGGAAACTGTCTCAATCGAGGCTGTGGAGGCAAAATTTTCCTAATCAAATCGAAGCTTGCCTCGGACATCCACAGGCTGAGACAGCAAACGTGCACAGCTTCAGAGCCATGATCGTACTTAGACAAACCATGGCTGTCAAAACTCCTGCAATTGTCCCAACATGTCGGAATCCACAAAATAACCCCAGCGTGGGGCGAAGGCATGCGATGCCTGAGGCAAAAAATACACATCTCAACAGACCTGCAGGAGAGATCCCTCCGGCCTGTCAGCAGGTCGCCGTTGGGGCACCCGCCGTCCCTGTTGCAAAATTATCCTGCCCCGCCAAACAAATTTTCAGGCGGGGCGAATTCTTCAGGGACTCTGGCCGGCTGGGCTTGGGCGAACGGCCTGACCGGCCGCCATGCTGATCAGAATCAAAAGCCTCAGGTGCAGGAGCAGCTCTGAAATGCGCTCAGCCTTTCCAAATCTGCCCTGCTTCACAAGAACTTCGTGTGTGGTGCGGTGGCCCTAGCCGCACGTTGCTGAAGTGCCTATGTCTTCTTACCATCTGGGCGCTACGCTGCCAGTCTGTGTCAAATGACCGTTCCACGCAGCAACTTTCAAGATTTCAGCATGTCATGTAGAGGTCCCCAAGCCCTGAGAGGCATCACATCAGTCCTTCAGTATTCGGGAACTTTGGATTTCTAGCCAAGCTCTCAATCTTGACGCTATGCCATGCCATGTTCTCTGAAAGTCTAGGCTCGGAGTCATTTGCAGCAGGTTGTCGGGCGAGATCATCTCTGATTTGGTCCACAGTGCCTCATGGACAGGTATGAATTGTGCAGTCAGGTGGTCAGGCCCTTTGTCCTCGCAATGGGTCTCCCAGAACCTCTGCAAAACAACCTACAGCCAGGACACAGCGCTGCTGCCAGCAGGCCTGGAACCTTTTTCAACCCGGACTTGAACGACTGCCGGAATGCAGCTACACTCACCCTGAAGACTCGTGCTCCAGGGCTCCCGAAAAGACCACATCACCATCCCTCCATGCAGCTGGAAAAGTAGACTATGTGCACATGACAGAACTGCGATGCCAAACTGTAGGTGTGGCATTCGGAACAAGGGGAAAGATGATGAACCTGAAACCCGAACAATTTTATCTCCAGCGCAAGTGGATCTGATGCTAAATCTTGGGACGCCGACCGAAAGTGCCGAACACGCACCGGCCATGTCAACCACAGCCTCCAAACTGCTGCTATGTGTTCTGCTCTTGTACAGGTGAGGAGACTATTTCTGCCACCATTCTTACGGTTCCTGTTTCCGCTACCTATCAATAGCACCATGGCTTGTCATGTTGACCGCCACACTCCTGGTCTGATGGTGTCACTAGTGAGGCTGATCCCTCAGGCCCTTAGCCAACGACAACTTTGCTTGGGCTTGGGAGAATCAGCCCTACATTCAAACAGGCGGTCCATTCAACAAAAAGGTGCAAGATCTAGTCTGACTCGAATTGTTAGTCATCATGGAGGTAGCAGAAACTCCGGACTCCAGAACGCTGGGGGGCTTTGCAGTAACTCCTGCAATGATCGCACCTCCAAGCAATCAACCAATTCATCTGCACCTGGCCACAGAGATGCAAAAATTCATTCAGCAACATCAACACTGCTGCGACTGCATCACCAGGAATATTGATGTCGCGCTTGACCACTCATTCTGGGCAGGACCAGGGGTGCAGAAGAGTGCGCTTTTTCAACTGGAAAATGCTTGTCACCACTGATTGCTTGCTTCAGACCAGGGACCACGTGGTGTAGGAGCCCAAAAGGGCAGGGCGTTTAGAACGTGCTCTGTACCGCAAACAAACGCTCGTAATTCCACAGCATGCCTGTCATGATTGCCCTTGCTACTAACACGGCTGTTCATACTATTGCTGTGCCGCCAGGTTTGACAGGTCGTCCAAAGTGTCTCTACTTTGGTGGTCCATGTCACAAAGGATTGCAAATGCGTGGTTTTGAGTCACGGCCATGTCGCACATGTTAGATCAGCTTTGGCTTCTGACTCACACGAAAAAATCAGAACCTCCGAGAATGGATTCATGATGGCAGCGTTATTAGTACTCGTGGCTTGACGTCCTTATTCCATGGGGTTTGATGTCATCTGGCCCAGAAAAATCAGTATCTAGTTCATTGTCCATTTTCTTTTCCGTCTGATTCTCCATCGTTGGGGTATATCCCAAGTTATCATAGTAGTCTCCATGTTTATTTCCATTATCGCCTATTTACAACCCAGATGTAATCCTTATAACCCCATTGTAGTAGTTCCCATTTTCTTTTCCATTATCCCCTATTACAGCCCCTAATGCTGGACCATCCTGGACCCTAGACCTCTCGGGTCGGTTCACAGCCAAGACACAATTGACGAACAAGGCCCTGCATTGATCCAGCTTCTCCTAAGCACATGTTGGTTGGTAGCTTGCCGGTGAAACCTGGGTGCTATGGTTGAGGCCCTAAGCCCTAAACCCTAGCCCATTTAGCATGATGTGTGCTTGAAGGCCTTCTCTGAGGTTAGGAACTGCATCTCGGCCTGGCCTTTTTGGCAAAACTTCTACTTGAGCATGCCTCCAGGCCTCCAGCAAGGAGGCCTGTATTGTTGTCCAACGCCGGGGTCTCTGGTTTAGAAGCCCTTTGAGGTGTAGCCAGGAGGCTTGGAGTGTCAAACACTCCTGACTGCATCCGCAACCTTCAATCCTCGAACTGATCCTGTGCATCCTCAGTTTCCTGAAGGAATCCCTTTTGCAAAGCTCCTCTCCTTGTTCAAGGGGGGGCATGCAGCAACCTACTACGGGATTAGCTACAAGAACAGGAAGGAAACAGAGACTACTCTCCCCAGTACCAATGACACCTGCCTGCTTTCTGAGGCCCCCTCTCGCGTGGAGGTGTGCTGCTTCTGGAGGATGCAGAGAAGTCCCTGGTTGAAGTGTGTGCAGCTGGCAAGGCCTCCCCAGAGCTGGTAAAAAAATGAGACACATTCACATAGGAGAGCACACGCACTCTCAAAAAGGGACCATGCTGCTCACAGATGTTCACACCAGCTTCCTAACATGGGGAAGACCTTCTGGAAAACGACCGATGGAAGCCCACAAGCTTCAGAGGCATCCAAAGTGAAGATCATGCCGTTGGCGAGCGAAACATCTCCGCTTGCGGAAAACCATTCTCACTTCTCAAGACATGTCTTGCGGGACACTGTGCTCACTTCTAAAACGTCATGAATGAACGCTGCACTGAAGGGAGCTGAATGGTCCATGTTGGCATTGCGTAGTTCTTGTAAAGGTCTTGTGAGTAGTGTGCCTCTGATTTGGGCAGACTCGTGTGTTTGGCGAGCATATGCAATATTCGATGGTTAAAGGGGAATATCGCTAACTATGGTGGACAAACATTATTGCTACACATTCAAACTTCTATGGAGCTGTGCGTGGTTTGCTTACGTGCAGGTAAGGGGAGTAGGTGGAGTGAATATCGTTGCCCTCGCCATGTGTAGGTTTCAAGAAAAAGGGGGTCCCCGTAGACCATCCTAAACCTCAACCTACAATATTGCCAGAAGTGCTGATATTCACTCCCCAGTCCTCATTATAGGCACTGGTGAGGCAAAGGGGCGCCTTTGCGCTTCGCCTGCAGCTTGAGCGCCTCACCTCGTGCTGGTGTTGGGAGGGCTTACTGGCTGTAAGAAAAAGGAGGAGTGTATCCCAAGTAGCCAAGTAAGTGTATTGCATAAATTTCCGCTCCCTAATTCCCTACTAACAACCAGCAGGGAGGGGTGAGGAATGAAGAAGACTGACAAGGACTCCCTAGCTTCTTCAAATTCAGGAGACCTTGTCTCGTGCTCTGCGGAGACTGTACTATAATATGCTGTACTATACTGTGTTATACTGTAGTATATTGTTACATATTTTATGGTGCTCGCAGATCTGCTGAACTGTAACTTGCTACTCGGAATGACGTGAGGAACTGCCGGAAGTCTCTTGAAGCCAAGACACGAACGGGAGACAGCCAACCTCAGCCAGCAAAAATAAATCTCAAGAAATCTTGACCACCAGAACATGAGATGTGGTGTAGATCTCACAAGTCTCGGAAGTCGTCTGCATAGTCCACATCCACGCGACTTGCTTGGAGCAAGTGGAGGAGAAGACAGTGCATCCAAAAGCGTCTGTCTAAGCGGCATATGAGCCATAGTCTACACTCCTAGTAACTTTTTAACCCCCTTTAAGGAGTTTAGACTAAAGCTCATATCACTAGGTAAATCTAAGTACTAGCCATGGTGCCATCGCCAGTTGGCTCCGGACTCTCGTTCTGATCAAGGCTCGGAACTGCAACCTGGGTTGCCAAATCCACAGAACGACTCAAGTGGCCGTCTGAGCGCATCAGTGATTCCACTACTGCGGAGGTGTATCTCTAAGGGATTTGGAACCCCAGTAGAAATTATAATTTCAGCTAAATATTAGGATTCTAGGTAACAGAAATTGAAAATTATTTTCAGGAACCTTGTAGGTATGGGTGCCCTCTATTCAGCTCATTGCAAAGTCAAGTTTGCATGGAGCAGGTTCACGGCGTCCCGGCATATGCCATGAGAAGACGCATAAGCTGGCCAGCGGGAAGGGCGACCGTCGGTCTGACTGGTTTTTCATAAAGATAGGTATATGGGGGTTTCCCAAATAAGGGGTACCTTTTTGGGGGTCCCTATAATAAGGACTGTAGTATTTTGGGGTCTACATTGGGGTCTCCTTATTTTGGGAAACTACCATATATGTATATGTATATATATATATACATATACATTGTTATTCCAAGATTTGTCCAACACAACTGCATCCAGGTCTCTTGACAATGTATCAAACGGTCCGCACAACGAAAGCAAAATAAAAAACAAGCCACAATTTCAGCACTCATTACTGAAATAGCCACTTCGTGAATGGGCGTCAGAGTTAGATTTGTTTGGAGAAAGCAACATATAACACTCATGGCTGAGCATCTCTCTGAATGGGCGTCAAGAAGGACAGACGCAGAATTCCAACGAGCGTTTCATACTGAGATGAGCTCGTCACCTCATCACATGTTCGATGCTTTCCGCATTCGTCTCCAAAGACTTCAGTGGGCATGTTGAAGACTACCATGGAAAAAAGAGGTCCGTAACGTAATTCGTAAAACGGCCAAAGCTTTGGAAGCTTTGAAGCTATTCGCTTCGTCCGAGGCCCTGAAGCTACATCGCCGTGTATCTATAGCTTCACCAGTTGTTCTGAAGCTTCCTCTAAGATTCGCGCTTCTAAACCGAAGCTCGTACGACCACTGGCTCACAATCGCAAATTCCTAGACCTTAGTTGGACCCCCCACCCAATAATAGTAACTACAAGGGATGACCGTGATTATTTTGGGGTCCTGTTCTGTTCCTATTATACCTCCATTCTGGGTTGCTGTTAAGATTAAGTTGCTATATTGGGGAAATCATACTAAGGACTATGTATGCCCATTATGGTCACTTAATTTAAGTTCCTTGACAGCAACCCGGAATAGAGGTATAACAGGAATACATAGGAATACAAGAGGACCCTAAGATGATCACCATTATCCCTTATAGTCACTATTACTGGGTGGGGGGTCCTCCTAAACCCTATAACCCCTAAACCCTATATAACCCCAAACTTCTAGTAGTTTCCATTTTCTTCTCCATTATCCCTATACATCACTCTAGGGTGGGAGGTCCACCTTGGCTATAATCCCAGGTTCCATTTCAGTTTCCATTTTCTTTTCCCTTTGATTATGTTTCACTGGTGCTCACAAGCAGTTACCGCAGCCCGCACGCTCAGTGTTCAACTCAAAATTTCCATCTGACTCTCCATTATTACCCCCATGGGGAACATTATATACCCCAATGTAACCCCTATGTAACCCAAATAAACCACCCTGTGATCCCAGTGTGGGATGTCCACCTTGGTTCGGTCAATAACATCAAGGCGAAGTTGTGCCAAGCGACAGCTTCCGGCTCATCCAGGAGGCCTGCTTCCTGGATATAGGTTTAGGGGTTGAGGGTGGAGGGCTTTGGGTTTTAGGGTTTAGGGCTTTAGGGTTTAGGGCTTTAGGGTTTAGGGTTTAGGGATTTTTTAAAGACCAGCGTTTAGGGATCTAGGGTTTTGCCACTTTAAGGATTTAGACACGCGCATCGCACAGATACTGTCCTGGTCAGACTAACTCCCACTACCGACTACTCACTTGACATGCCAATCTACACCAAACTACACCAAGTGCCCTCAGTTCAGCTAGAAGTCGGAGCACAGACACAGACAGTCGCCAAACGTCACTTGCACACAGCACAACTCTTACCAGGGGATTTAGGGTCCCCTTGTAATCCCCTCTTTACCCCCCCTTTAAGAAGTTTAGACTACAGCTCTTTTGGGGTGCCTGCATCCCGTCATGACGCTCCGCTCTACGGTGCTCAACGACAAAGCTTTCCTCCAGCATGGACCGAACCAGTGCCACCAGCTCCTTGTCTTTCACGTCCACTATCAGCCTAAGCCAACGGACAACAGCGCAAATTCAGAACTTGCTGACTTTTGCTCAGCTAGCTGATGAGCTGAGGAGCCTCAACAATGGATACTGTGACTTTACAGCGCAAGCACTGGCATGATGCCTGCGAAATGCCCACGAGTGAGAGCAAAAGCGCCTCATGACGCAAACGGAGCAGGCGAAGGAGGAGGGAGAGGAAAAGGGAGCGGATCTTGATGCACAGCTGCTCTCGAAGCTTTGCAGCATCCCAGGCGACGTAAGTGCTCGTCTCCGCAGCGATAACCTGGCCAATCCACATGCCACACGAGCAAGGTGCATGTGTCATGTGTCATGTGTGCTGGACATTCGCTGGCTCAGCGAGTTTGCAAAACCGTTCCCACCTCCGTCTCTGCAGTGTTCTTGCGGAGGATTCGCGCGGGAATTACATGTTCCTTGTCTTTCAGCTTTCTCGCATGGACTGTATGAGTGGTCAGGAGCTTTTACAGCAAGACACTTCCCTTGTGCAGGCTTATGAACCCAGCAGGCCAGAGCAGGATTTGTTGGGACTCGTAACGCGTGTCTAGCAAGAGTCTTCTTGTCGCTGAACCAACAAAGTTTAGTTCTTGCTGTCCGAGAGGCAGTGCACCCCTCGTCCCGAACAAGAGCCTGCCAACTTTTACGGAGGGCAGCCTTGATAAGAAGCTCCGGACTCCCTAACACCGATTCCTACATGCGTTTGTGCGTGTAAACGTGTATGTAGATAATGAGGGCAGGTACGATATTGGAAGCATTTTGTTGGAACCATGTCTTATGCGGTAGGTGCTGGCGGCACTCTACTGCTATGGGTTGGTGAGATCCTTTGGCAAATGCTTCAAGCAACTCGAAACAAACAGTGATTGAAGGCCAAACACACCATCAAAGCTGAAGAATTTGCATTGAGCACTGGTCTCCCTTCTACTTCACTGAGCCAACCTGAGGACAAGCCCCGCCTTGCCCCTGACCAGGATACGCAGCTCATCACAGCCCGAGGCCTTAAAGACCAAGCTCACCGAATGCCCAAGAATGTGTGGGATTGATTCCAACCCTCACCGAGGCCCAGAGGCATCTGCTTCTGGAAGATACGGATCTTATTTCTATAGCCCGACCCACAAAAAGTACAGTCCAGTCATTTGAATGGGAACCCCTGGAACCATGCGGCAGAGTCACCAGCAGAGATTCGCCAGCAGCCGCCACACCTTGGTAGCTCTTCTTACTTTGCATGGTATTTTGAGAGAAATTCGCTGGTGCTGAATGGAGCCCACAAATCTTCAAAAAAAACCATCGGAAGTTACTAGGCCACGGCCACATTCTGCCAGGATGCCCCAGCGGCAGCCACCACAGGCCATGAGCTTGTGAAAGCAGCTTGTTGAGCAGCCCTGCTGGGGATCACTGTCAGGCCACTAGTTGGGCAACAAGAAACAGAAGTCTACAAGTTGCTGGCACTGTGAACGGAAACGACGAAAATCACATGCAGCCTTCCTACCACGCTAATGACCCCTTCCCTGACGCCACCCTGCTCAACTTCGGCGGCCTTCAGGTGAAAGCTCCGAGCATAGAGCAATGCCTGCCGCCAACCGTGCACAACGAGTTGGCAATAGCTCCGCAACTTCCACGCACTCAAACTTTGGCGCATGGTAAGTTTGGTATGGCAACTTGTACATCAAAAACAAAAAAGGGGACACCTCACAACATCCTGCGACATCCCATCCATCCCCAGGATAAGAGGAGCCTCGTTCTCATCCAGAGAGACCAGCTCCTGCAAGGTGTCGAACTGTGGGCATCGACTGGCAACCCTTAACAGAACTCGGAGACCTCTTCTTTTCAAGCAAGGGTCCCATGTATAGTAAGGACCCGAAAACGGACACACTATTTCTAGAAGCTTCCGTTTCCAAAACCTGAACAGCTAAACCTTCCGCAGCGCAAAACTTGCAATAGCCAAAGCCAACTGTGGCCGCGTGGGCTTTCACAGCACAATGTCCGCATCTCTTATGCAAGAAAAACACGGTCAGGGTTCCTTCATCCTAGGGCCGCCGCAGAAGGACTGAAACTTTGGCACTAAACCAAACTCTCAATCCTTTCTCTGGCATCGGGAGTGGGACCATTTGCTGGGATTCTATAAGGACTTCCAGCTTTTGATTCCCCATAACCCAGACCCCTGATTAATGAACCCCCTCCTCTTGTTAAGTATCTAAATAGGGATTCGAATATCTAGGCCCTTAAACACCAGATAGTCCTGTGAACCGAGGGCTTTCGCCGCACTGACGACGCCGGAGAGAAGGAGCGGCCCCATGGGCCCGGACTGAGCAGCTGACTCTTGCTATCAGGGTACTATATTACCAATACTATTACTATTGCTATTCTGACTGCTACCAGTACAAATATTACTACCTTTGTACTGTTTATTGGTACTACTATTATTATGACTGCCTCTAGCTTCCGTTTCATTTTCGATTTGATTTTCCTTCGAATTCGCGTTCGGGCGTGCTGTTGGGTTCGGGCATGCTGTTGGGGTAGGGATGGCGAGCTTCAGCATAGATCTCTACCTCAAAGTGCCTCCCAAACGAGCTGGCCTCTCGTCGAATTGCATGTATGGTCCCTTAGTGTGCCTTTTTATGGGCATGCCTGCAATTTATGAAATGGGTTCATCAACGATGGAAAAGAACTAATCGTTGCTGAAAAAGGCTCTGTGTGACCAGAGAAAGTCGGATGGCAAAACTAAACAGATGTGGGGGTTGCCTAAAATTAGACGTACCATATCGGGGGTCCGTAAAGTAAGGACTACAGCATTTTGGGGTCCATATTGGGGTCCCCCTATTTTTGGGGAACTACCACGTCAACCAGGAAGATCAACCTTGCTGAGGAACAAGGCCTCTTTTTGCGCTACAGTAGCAGGGTACTCCAAAAAAATCGTGCAGTTCCAGTTGTTGTTCAGGGACCAGCCGGGTATGGGTTGCAGCCTAACTTGTCTTGGATCCGCAGACGTCCTGAGAGCTCAGGCTTCTGACAGAACATCTACGCCAACACCCTGAACCCAAAGCTACGACAGGCCCCTGTTTGCCTTCTTGGGCCAGTAGTACAATATATATGCAATGAAAATTATGAGTTCCGGCAAAACTAGGAATATCTGTAGTCAGAATGGAAATTGCAAAAAGCTGACACAATCAATTCCACATCAACCAAAAACCCTGCCAATCCTACGGCTGCTTGGCTTCTCTGCTCACTCTTCCCGCACCCCGTGTGCCATATAATCCCTATATAATCTCTATATAATCCCTATATGATCCCTATTATATCATAGTCGTTTCCATTTTATTTTCCATTATCCCAAAAAACCTAGGAGGAAGCAAACGGTAGTTGGCCCTGAGGATGCAGCCCATGCACCGCACAAAACGAAGGGGGCAAACCCCCTGAGACATTTGGGGGTTTCCCAAAATTAGGGGTACCTGTTTGGAGGTCCCCATAATAAGGACTATAGTATTTTGGGGTCTATATTGGGGTCCCTTTATTTTGGGAAACTACCATTTCATACTATGTGCTGTAGGACTGCGCAATACCACATGTGAGGAACCCTTATTACAAAGCGTCCTCACAGTTTGGCCTCAAAAAGGTCGTCGACTGCACTCGTGAAGATGTCCGCTGCAGCATGGACCTTCACATGTATTTTGGTCCAAAAATGACCCCGAGGGACCCTGAAAAAATACATATGAAGGGGCATGTGTATAGGGATCTGTGTTCTGGAAGAAGCAACCAACAAAAAGCAAACTCCAAAGTAATCCAAGAAGCTGGGGTGTACATCATGACCACGATGTGGATTTTGAAAAGATCTACAGGCATGAACAGCCGAACAGCCCTTTGATGATGCACCCTAAACCCTAAACCCTAAACCCTGCTCATGGGCTACACCTGGATTCAGACAACTTCAGGCGTCTCAACTTCTGAGGATACTCCCTGTCAACCTCTACAATCCCCTTTCACTAATAACGAAGCCGGCCCACCACCACCCGAAAAAATTCTTTGCTCCAATACATAACGGTATTGCACTGGGTGTACGTATTTTGGGGACGGGGTTATGAAGGGAATGGGATTACTAAAGCCAAGGTGGTTATCCATGTAGCTGGCCTAGTTCGTGGATGACTTGGGGACATGTCCTTCTAGCAAATTGGTTGCTCTGCACAGCCTGTTCCATCCACTGAGCAGCTGTTCCCATGTCCGCAGCATGGGCCACGTGCCTAGGCTCCCGTTCCTCTTACCACGAATGTGGGACTATGTGTTACAATGGTTACTGCTGTTGTAGTGTTGCTAGTTGCTACTGATGCAGTCAACCGAAGGTTCTCTTCAAACTAGAGTAACTATTGCAGGTTCTTTCGTGCTTTTCTTGCCACTCGCATGGCTCCGGAGCTTCGTTAGTTGCTTGATTTACACGGTACAGCTGTGTGGGGAAGGGCCATGCACTGAGGGTCCTCTCCTATCACACGGGCTTACAAAGGGTACTGTAGCGCCTCCGCGCATGCTGGTGCTACAACCTCGCGGAGAACATCATCACCATCAGTTATACAGACCTAACCTAACAGCTTCAGTTACGATGCTGCCATACCATGGAACTCACTGCAGAAGAGGTCAGCTCTTCCGATACTACAGCAGTCTTCCAAATTCCTCTGACTAAGACAAGTGGATATTTGTTGACCGATTGCGCCAGAAAAACATGGTTTAGGTGGTAGTTCCCAGCTGAATCAACAAGCCATCATGTGCAAGCCAATAGTAAACAAGAATTCTGATGATAACTTTCCCCTCAAACTCCACTGCTTCTCAAGCCAGGAGTCGTATGTGCCAGCAACACCTGCAGCAGGCATGAACCCAGGCTTTTGCCAGTTTTGCCTCTTGCATGGCCAAGTACATAAGGGTTCGGGGTCTGGAACACAAAGCCTGAAGCATCAAAACTTGTTCAATGGGAAATACCACGGCTGGCAAGCGTTTTGGCCCGGCTTCCCATTCTGACTGCTCGTGCTCTCATAGTGTAGTAGATGTTCTGGGCTTCTTTGACTCACTTCAAGTGAGTTGTAAGTTTGATGGCGCCCGAAGCCTAGTCGGTTGACAACATAAGCTTGCAGGTAAGACACCATTGTGGCACCGGCAACTGTTGTAGCCAACTCTGCCGCATCTGCCACCTTCAAAGATGTTCGTTGCATGGAAGACTCTGATGGAACCCAGGATGTCGGAAAACACAGCAGGAAGTGACAGCTGGTCGAAGAGCCTGCAACCGCCCTCTCTTCAAGGGCCGGGCTGGAAGTAAGACCATGATGATACATAACAACAATCTACGTTTTTCAAGAGGCCGATCATCACTTCTGCCGATGTCCGCGGCACGGGAAGGAAATCGTACTGCACCCAAACTCAACTAACAAAAAGGAAGGCCCTTGTGCTGCCCGGGTGCCATGGAAGCGTTCGCGTTTCCGCAAACTGTAGTAAAAACACCTGGGCTATTGAGATTTCAGGACTTCGGATTCAAACTCACTTGCGGGCACGAGGGGTCATCAATTCAGCAATAGTGCTCCAGCATGTCTTGCAGTCCAAGACAAGAGAACCACCGAAATCCGAGCTTCAGTCAAGTCACGCTTGGCCCTTGTACAAGGGCTGCCTGCTGGCTCATATGCTCCCTCCCTCAACACAGTTTGGCACCACACAAACTGCAACCCTCACAGCCACACGGCGTTGCAGGAGCCAACCACATCATGAATCAATAGACGAAGTGGTCAACGCAGCCACTTCCAAATCTTGTTTTTTTTCGCCGTGCAAAAAAAAAAAAACACATCCTGGAATGCACATGCAAGCGCATTTCTGTGGCAGCCGCCGAATGAATACCTCCTGCGTGTATATGTTTCTGCCCTTCAAAATGTCCCATCATCCAAGTTCTCCGGAGACGGTACTAGCATCGAAGGTTCTGGGACCATTGAAAGATGGACGTGCAACGATTAACTGATTAACTTCATGAGGCCAAACAAGCCCATAATTTCAGGCGTTGGTCAGCGAGGAGCTGCCCAAGTGTATGCTCCGCTAGTCCCAAGACCGCAAAGCAGAATCCGAATATGGCACGACATACAGAATCCACCAAAATCCCCAGATGAAACCTCAACCATCCAATTCACTGGAAAGCTTATGTGCTGCAGTAGTTTCCATTCTATTGTCCGTGATCCTTATATAACCCCTAGATAACCCCAATAAAGTAGCTTCTAACCCCAGTTTCCATTTCATTTTCCATTTTCTTTTCCATTTGATTCTCCATTATTGCAATTTCCATCTTAGTTTCCATTAGCCTTCTATAACCCCTATGTACTATAGTAGTGGGTCTAAGACATGACCTGAACCCCAGCTGCGGCCTGGCTCTTGGACCACCTGCAGGCAAGGTGCCCATTTCATGCATAAAAACCATGACCACTACCGGTCAGAACATCACCACTATTCCGGCGGCTACAACAACAACAACAACAACAACAACAACTACTACTACTACTACTACTGCTACTACTGCTACTGCTACTGCTACTGCTACTGCTACTGCTACTGCTACTGCTAGTGCTAGTACTACTGCTACTACTACTACTACTACTGCTACTGCTACTGCTACTGCTACTGCTACTGCTACTGCTACTGCTAGGAGCAACACGGTCCGCGAACGGTCATGGAACGTAAGGCAGAATTTGGTGCCGAAATTGGGGGTTTTGAACGAATTTAGCATCTTGACAAGGCAAAAATCTGGGTAGGGTCTCATAGCTTTGCGGATGCAAGCTGCGTACGTTTAGTTCGTCACATAAAACTTCCAAGGGCCATGTGTGCGCCGTGTTCAAGTATGGACTTTCTTTGCGGAAGGGCCCCTTGGGGTTTTGTATATTCAAGGCGTTTCTTTCTTGCAAAGGGGCCCTTGGGGTTCTGCACTTTTACTTGGAGTTGTTTTAACGAATGCGGAGGCATGGAAAGTCCTCGAACGTGCAACTGGGGTTTTGAGCATACGACCTCGTGCAAGCAGGAAGGGGACACATCCTTCTGTTGAAGCCCCTGATTGTTGATGGGGCCCTCAGGCCTCTACACATGCAATACGAAAGCCTTGAAGCATCTCTTAGAATGAATGATTGCAAGTGTCTCATAAAAAGACATGCCGCGCGTGGCTTGCACAAACAGCCCCACACATAGGCTTCAATAGTTTAATGTTAGCCACTCTGGTACAGGCCCAGATGTAGGGGTCGACTACTAACCACAAACCAGCGCTTTGGAATGTCTGAGCAAGCTGCGCCTTGTGCTTTCAAAACATTGCAAGGGACAAGCTAAAGAACCCAGCAGCCGCCTTTGACAGGTGGCTTGCCATCTCAACGGCACTGTTCCAGCCAGAATTATCCTCCATCTTGTCCTTGGTTGCATAACACAACATCTGCATTGAAGGCTTGCAAAAAGCAAAGCAAATTCTTTCGGATCCCTATCACACGCATCCATGATGTCAACAAAAATGGTTGATAAATCATCAAGATTCCCTGGCGCCAGCGATAGCTGCGTCCAACTGGGCCTGGCCGGAGTTCACGTCACTGCCGGTCAATCTTCAGAAGATTCACTAACGGTTTCTGCCACCTACATAGCACAACACTGGTGGTCCGGGCTTTCCGGTTTAGGATCTCAAGCAAATGACAGAAAAGCTGCATCAAAAAAGTGGCGTGCATCGAGATGGAATCGTTACGCAGTCGCAGTGGCACAAAAAGAGGACCTGGAAAGGTGATCTTGGAACTGCTTGCTTGAAGCATGCAGACGAGCTTGGGAAATTGAGGGGCCTGCTGGACTGCACTCGCCAGGCAAACACCTGCCATACAAACCTTGCACCTGATGACGGAGTCTCTGACACACTGGGCCATGTGATGGCAGAACCCTGTCCCATGATCCCATAACAACACCACAGAATCGGTCCTGCAGATTTGGCAAGCCTGAGACCGAGCATGAAAGTGGTCATAGAAAGGCTTGCTGCAAGTGAAAGCATCCAGGCGATCTCATTTCATACTGCAGGCGCTCAACAACCATAACCAATCACTGTAGACCATGTCCAGTGCATGCCCGGGTGCTCTCCCCAGCCGCCAAGTCCTGACAAACCAAGCTTATTACCGGAAGACACTTCTTTCTGAAGAGCCTAGGTCCCGAGAGGGTCCTCACGCGCCAGATGCCCGGACTGTCCATTGTTCCTGGGCAGCACGCCATGAGCTACATCGCCAATGCGCCGGAATCAACAGTCTACTGTCAAATACTATTACCTGTCCTGATAAACCTAGCAGGCAGCAGAGGGTAAGCGACAATGCATCTGGAATGAAAATGCGGTGCGCGTGCAGGACTATGCCAAGAAACGGGGCCAAGAACCGCAAAAGCGCCTGTGACCTGGGGAGCACGTTGTATGAGAGCCTGACTTGTGTCTATTTATTGAGGGCTGGCATGCATTTCTTTCGCTTCGCCATGGAACGTCAAAAATGCAATGCAGGGGAGGAACAATAAGCAAAAGTTCGTGAGAGATGCTGCGGCTGAACCCTCGACGCCTTCTCTACCACATCTTGCCAAAGCTCTTCGTTACCCTGTGCTGTGATCAACAGGTGCTAATCGAGTGCTTGCAGAAGTCCTGCACTCCTA